CTGGTCCTATAGGGCTCATCCGTCCTGGATTCCCTGTATTTTGAGTCGGCATCAACTTGATGGCAGTGAGAGAGACAGGTGTCTTTAAAGAACAGAAATTTATTTTTCTCGCAGCTCAGAATGCTTCTGACTTCAGGCCTTTGGCTCTAGGGGAAGGTCCTACTTTGACTCTTTTAGCTGACAGTTGCTTCCATCCATCCTTGGGCTTGTAGATGCATGCATCTCGCTGTGTTTTTCATAAGACACCACTGAAAAATGACTAGGTTTAGGACACACCCTACTCTGTTATAATCTCACTTACAGGGGAAAAATCCCCCCAAAACCCTAACAAAAGAAACCTATTTCCAAACAGGATCACATTCAGGTACAGGGGCTCGAATTGCAAAATACCTTTTTGGAGGTCACAATTCAGCTCCTAGCCTATACTCCCTGTATGTACCACGTACTCACCGATTGTACCACTGGAGCCTCAATAGCCGATCCTTCGATATTTCCTTCCCCCTTCCTTCCTTCCTTTTCTCCTTCCTCCTTTTCCCCTTCCTGCTTGCATTAGATTTGTGATTTTGGAGGAAAGATGAAAACAAAAGTTTCCAAATTTCCAGCATGATAGTTTTCTACCAAATCTATATTGACTATCCATTGATGCCAACTCAGTGAGCCTCTAGGACAGATGAGAATGACCCCAGACTTGACAAAGCTGTGACTATGGAGGCGGGTTGCCACATCTTTCTCACCTGAATTGAATGGTGGGTTAACGTTATCAAGCTTTCAGTTAGCAGCCAGGCGCTTTAGCTATTGTGCCATCCGGTCTCTCTATTGACTACCCTCATGAAATGATAAAGTCTAACTACCACTGTCAGAAACAAAGATAATGAAGGCCACATTTGGAATTTTAAAGTTTTCCAGTTGTCTACTTAGAAAAGCAAAAGAAAATAGGAGAAACAAATTTTAATCATATACTTTATTCAACCTCCTTATACTGAGTAATATCATTTCAGTGTGTATTAAATGTAAAATTACCAATGAAATGTTTTACATTGTTTTTTTTTAAATCAGGTCTTCCAAATTGTGTGTAAGCTTTGCACATTATAACACATTTCAGTTCACACCAGCCGGGTTTCAAATGCATAGTAGCCACATGTGGCTCATGCCTATCACACTGGTCACCACGGCTATAACTTGTCTTTTGGTGACTTGACATACTTAGTACCTCTGTAGTTCACCTTCAACTATATTAAATAACAGTCTGGAATAAGAATTCATGAGAGCTCATTTAAAATGGAAAGTATTTATGAAAAGTGTTTTGTGTTATTAATTCAGATACTAATCTTTAAACCATTAGATTTTTAAAAATTTCCATTTTTACCCAACAATTAGATTTTGAGGACTTGTCTAGAAGGTGTAGCTATAGAGATGAACATGATATTCCCTGGCCCAGTGAACTGGTAGTTGATGGATAGTGGGAGATAGACTTATCAACAGAACATACTTTAGTGTGATGGGCTAATGGCTACAATGGAGGGATTACAGGCATGCTGTGGGGACAAGCCAAAAGAAACGAGTCCACTGTTGTCAGGTAGATGCACTCATAACAACCCTCCATAAGGTGTGCCAGGCTGTGGATCTTTATGGGAGCAGAAGGAGTGAATTTTAAATTGCGGGGGGAAATGACATTACAAGCAGAAGAAACAGGATGCTGAATGTATACAAGTTGAGTCATGGAGGTGTGGAAGAAGGCAACTCAAACATTTTGAGCACTTACCTTATATTCACAGTGACCCCCTAGGGCAGAGAAGAACTTGGAAACCCTGTGGGTATCTAAGACTATCTTTATCCTTTCTCGCATGGAGCAGCGAATGGTTTTGAGCACCTGACCCCTCAGTTAGTAGCCCGATGTGTAGCTCATCCACTGGATGGCAGTACGTTTGGAGGGTTTTTTTGTTTGTTTGGTTTTTGGTTGATCTTATGCTGATCATAATATTGGGCAGCGGATTTGACTGTTGAAAGAGCAAAGCATTTAAGGAATGGTAACATGCTTGGTTGTCTAGTTCTCGGTACGTATGGCATTGAAATGAAGATGGAAGAGTTGGTTTGGCCTGAAGTCTGAAAAGCCGTGAGGACCATACTGACGTGTTTAGTATAACTTAGGGGCAGTTTTGCATGGTGGTGCAGCCCCTGGGCCTTGGAGTAGATTGGACTGTATTTGAATTTGAGCTCCATTACTTAATAATTTTGGTACTATGTGCAAGTTACCCTACTTCAGTCATTTTTTAATTTGTGAACTGAGAAAAGCAGTACCCACCTCATACAGTTTTCCAGAGATTTAAAGGAGGCAAATGCCAAATGTACGACAATTGGCACAGTAGCTGGCACATGGGTAAGTCAAACCAAAGCAGACTCACTAACATGGAGCCGACTGTGATTCATTGCAGTCCTGTCGGATCAGGAAGAACTGTCCCTTTGGATTTCTGAGACTTTGACCCTCTTAGAAGTAGACAGCCTCAGAGCTCTCCTGCACAGTGACTGGTGGGTTCAAACTGCAGACTCTGTGGTTAACAACTCAGTGTATAACCCACCACACCACCAGGGCTCTTGGCACATGGGTA